TGGCTTCTGTGACTTTGAGTCGTTCCTGTTGTTAGGCAGCGAAGCAGATTCGTGCTGAGGTGAACACTGCCAAGGAAAGTGCGCTGGCGTTGAAGGCTAATGCAGAGAACGTCAGAAACGATGCTGAGAAGGCGGCAAACACGCTGAACAACTACAAGATGCTGTCGGCGGACGATCGGCAAAAAGCGCAAGATGTACGTATTATTATGTATTGTCTTATTTGAAAAAATATATTTCTGCATGATCTGCGCACTTTCTATTTTTTCCATATTTCCCCAGCTGTTCTTGTATGACACTTAAATCTGCCATTAACTGCTTATAGGCATTGGAGCGCGCGAGTCAAGCGGAGTTGACGGCCAGTCGAAACAATGAGACGATCCTGGAGGCGATGGAGTTATTACGGAAAATTACCGCCGAACTAAGTATGCTAGAAAGTTTTTATTATTTACTGATTTATGTTAATTTATGAGCAAATGATTAATTTTTCACGACGTCTAAACATGGGTACAGCTGCTCCTTGCTATTTTTGAGCGCGAATAGCATGACCAAAAAATATGATCTTGGTCATTTTTACTATAATCAGACTGCGTTTTCCATGTTAATGAATCTTTCGGTTTAGTAACCGAAACAAGCTGGCTTAGTTACATTGTAGATGTTGTCATGGCTTTACAGGTATTTATCTAACTGCGACGATAAAACAACTAATTCCAGACCGACATCTACGAAGGAGCTGCGGTAGCAAAACTTTACGTGGTACAAACTTCATTTAAGTCTGATTTAACCCACCCTCATGCTTAAGTGTTTACTGTAGTATTTAACACGCGTTAAAGGTTATTTATCTTAGTTTGAATCAAAGCAAGCATGCACATACAAATGAGATTTCAATATTGTTCGAATTTCAATTGATTTAAATATGACTCAGTATAAATGGCATGAAAAGATAGAAAGTAAAAGAATGTTCGATTTGGCCATTAGACTTTATGAAATTATCAAGAAATTGATTGAATTGAATTCTTTCTTCCCGTCATAAATCACACTATAACAGCTAAAGAATCACCTGTTTCTCTTTGGATGTTTAAGAACCATGAGTAATTAAGATCCATCCATCTGCTCCAGTCGTTTCTTTCTTGCTGAAATCTTACGGGAAAGGAATGTCATGTTATCTTTTGTTATGAAATTTTTACTTGTAGTTCGAAAGTCTGTCTCAAAAACTGCCGCGCATCTAATTTTATGATTTCATCATTTGATAATTCATCTCAGTGTGAGTCAGTTAGTTCTTCGATATCATTATCATCATCATCTTTATACGAGCAGCATATTTCTCAACCGTATTTACGGTTAATGGTGCGACACCAGGATCACGTCCTATCACTGTTAAGATTGTTCACCATGTATACTTGTGTATATTTCTAGACTGACGAAGGCACAGGCATGCATCTTGTGAGCTGTCTACCTTGCGGAATACCGCTGTTGGGTAGCGTACAAGAAATATAGGCGTTAAGTAAAACTTTTGACTCGAAATTTTTTCTATGGTCATTTAAGAATAATTTCCTGGTCAGAATTTGTGGGTATATATAATGTAATGGCTATCGGGTTGTTGCGGTAAACGATATTTTTCGTTCCTTGTTTCATAACCTTGCCCCTT